TGTAACTGAAAAAAAGAGAAACTTGAGAAATTTGTACATCTATCGACGGATTCATTAAAATCTCTACTTAATAATAGTATAAGCATTATTGCTCATTCTCCCTCATTATTTCACTATTCTAGAACTAGTTATGCAAATTCTATCATTGACCTTCCCCACCACCCCGGCCCTCCCACACTCACATACCAGAAAATAAACTCAAAAATAAAATCCGATTTTTAAACAAATTGAAATATCTTACCCGACTTCATCGGCTATAATTTAATTATTGAAATTCGTTGATTTTGTATGAAGTCAATGTAAGAAAAAGTAAATGTTCGGCGGTAGTAGAAGAATGGATAAATTAATATCCATAAACATCATATATCCTTCCCTATCATAATTTATAAAAATAAAAATTAACAAAACTATATTATTTAATCAATACGCGAATTGTTAATATCATTTCAATCCTCTTCTAAACATTACAACGTACTGCTATCGAGTTGCAGTAATTATCTTTTGTGAAACCATTTTGTTAACTTTCGAAAATTAAAATGAAGAACATAAGAATTAAGTACTCCAGTCTAAGTGGATTATTACCGCGGTTACTTTAACAACATAAATGTAATTGTGCGAAACCTACAAATTTATTATTTAACGAAAATGCACAAACGTCACAGGTTGTAATACCGAAACTAATAACGTAACTAATTAAATATTACAGTAAATTTTAATTATTAATTATCTCGTATTATTCGCCATAAAAATAACTGCGAGCCTTGATATATCGAAAGAATTCAGGCTATTTATTAGCGCAAAAATTCAATCCACCGCACAAATACGCGATAGTACTATCCGAGGTTTTAGCGCAGCTAAGCCTAAGGATTACTCGTGAAAAAAAAAGTATGAGTAATAACGCAAGGTAATGGCTATGAAAAGTAGAAATTGCCCGTACTTTCTAGGCGCTCATCCTACATTCAGTTTCTAATAAAAAAATTACAACGGAGGCATTGATGATAAGCCAAGGCCCGGGGAAAAAGCATCGCGGAATTCGCATGCGTCGCGATAAAAACAAGCGTCGACTCGTTTTCCCCCGAAAAATAAAAAGCAAGGAAAGAGAGAGAGAGAGAGAGAGAGAGAGAGAGAGAGAGAGAGAGACGAAAAGAAGGCTCACTCGCGCCTCGAGACACAGTTAACTGTAAACGTCCACACGGATCCTCGACGTATAGCGGGTAATGTGGGTCAGGGTCGACGGCGTACCCGCGAGTTCATCTCCGCGTGTATGCATACACGTGGTGCAGGCAGCTGCGGTATCTGGGACACCGTGGAATTACTATTCCGAGTGAGCAACATCGCGTGAGAGGAAAAGAAGCCGCCACGGGGAAGTCGCTTTGGTGCAATGGCCGAGTGGGGGGAGACGGATTGGATGATGGGATGACAAGGGGATGGTGGATATACGGGTGTGCGAGGGAGTGTGCGCCGTGGCTGTTTTTTCCATGGATGATGGGACGATCGAGTGGGATGGGCGCTCGAGTTGGAAAGTGATAATAAACGTGTGCTCTTGGTTAAGATTGATGAGGTGCATTGCAGAACGATGCAACGCAAGACTTTGTAATTTTTATAATAGGAAAATGCCGGGTATTTGTGAGAGAGCAAACTTGTATAATGATTGGCCATAACGTAAGTAAATTTCATTCTTCGTACGAGCCGGTAAAATTGAATTTAATTATACAATCTATGAGAGATGTGAAAGCTATTTATTACTCAATAATAACATCCTACGCAACTTCATTATTTCGGTTGATACATTTCGCTAATAACATCTTAATGGGCAGATTTACTTTGTAATAATAGCATATTCGCTTATATAATTTTGTTGTTGTTGTACAGTGATTATTGCAGTAGTTGATTAATCATTTATACTTAGAATTTCAATTGAAGCGAATGGAAAATGATTTTTTGGCGTTTAGCGGGTAATAGGCCCAAAAACTCTTGCGATGTTCGCTATTTCGATAAGAGAATGCAAACATTTTATCTCTCTGTCTTTCTCCATTTGTTGTCAAAGAATGTCGAGCCGAAGGCGTGTCTCGTTAGCCAAGACATAAATATGTTAAACCGATATCTCGGCTTTGGATGGTGAAGTGTGACCGCAAATGAGGATTAATTTTCCATCCCCGCGCATTAGCATTAGCGAAGTTCCTTTTACAAGTTGGAGAGGGAAGGACGAGCGATGAACGCGCATTCCAATTATTCGCCGTAGTTATTATTTTGTGCTCGTAATCGCGGAGCGGCCACCCCATGTTGGCGGCAGCACCGACATCCTCCCGTAATTATAGTCAGAAATCTACGTTCTTCGTCTTGCTGCTCCCCGTCTATCCACGGCGCTGGACGGTAAAGGAGGAATAAAATGCGAGAAAACGCTCGCGATGCCGTGCTCCAAGTCAATTCCCGATCGTGGAATTGCCGACCACTTCTTATCTTCCTCCCTCTTTCAGCGTCCTCCCAACCCTCTCGCTCTCGCTCTCATACACACGCGCGCACACGTACGTCACGTTCGTTTCGCAGCTTCTCTTTCCGCTGGAGGTGACGCTCGAGGCTGGTAAACATTGCTGGGCCCGGGAAGGTATTAAATCGCAATGTTGCGACAGGACATCAGTGTGCGTTTGCATAGACGTGCACTTGTCGACGTGTGACGACCAAGTCGAACGACGTGCAACGGCGATCTTAAGTTTTACACTGTAGCTGACGATCGTCCCGTGTCTATTATTCACGAGCGTTTCCGTCTCGTTCCTTAGGGATTTCGTTGTTGGCAGGCTCTAATGGTCGATGGAGATGAAGAGAAAGGAGCCGTGAGGAAGGAGCGGTCAAGGAGAGAAGAATGAGAGAGGAATGAGAGGAATTGCGACTGATAACGTCCGATGGCAACGCGTCAATATACGAAATATTACTATAAAAAATATATACGAATTACTTTTCCGAAAATGTTATTGAATAATTATTTGTGGCCAATAACAATGTTCGACGCACGTGTAAATTGCCTATTCAAAAAAGATAAATATCCATATAAATAGTAGTTTCTTTTAGGCATCAAACGATAATGTTAATATTTCTATTTCTTTTCAATTACATGTTGAAATTCCATCTATTTTTATGAATTATTAATTATAATTATATTCACGGTTTTTGTTAGTGCCGTTAATCTTTCAAAATATCTATCCTTTTTGATTATGAATAATTTGATCATCCAATGTAAAATATGTTTGGCTCATGACGGAAGGGTATAAAATAAAATCGTTTATTAGAGGAAGAGAGATGAGAAGAGAAGAGGAGATACATAAAGATAAACGGAATATATATTTCGATAAGATTGAATTATAGGGGTTTAATTTTAGTTCTTTCGAGCGTGGTCGAGTACGTTTGATTGTAATCGAATTCATTTTGTCGTTACCTACGCTTTCTTACACATTTTAATTGTTATGTTAAATATGATGAATCTTTGCGGGAGAAAATTTTATAACCGTACGTTTGTCGGCATAAGAAGAAAATTCAAATCACCTGATAAATATAAGTAAATATGCTAATTATATTGATTCCTTTCAATTATATTGGAGATATTTGTTTTTCATGATATATTTTGTATTTGCAAAGTCTTTAATCTAGCATTCAGAATTACTTTAATAAAAGGTATTTATTAAATGGTGTAAATAAATACAATTTTCTTATATAAGAGAATTGAAGATTTATGTGCCATTTAAAATTTCTACAATTTCCGTGTAATTTTTTGTATATGAACAACATTAAAATAAATTATTTTATATTTATTAGCCTTTGATATGAAAAGCGACGTGTATAAGGCATATTACAAGTTATATTTGATCGTTCTCCAAGCATTATTAGAAATTATTTATAGCATTTAGATTCTTTTCTCGCATACAAATGTATGATAAATTGTTCATTTATTAGAAAATAATACCAATTTTCATTAAATCTATCGACTAAAAAAATATAACGTTAATTTATTATGTAATCGATGCTTATCCCTCCTCGTTTTAATAATAAATATGACTTTAGTAGTAGTAGTATTACATGTTATATTTAAAAATATTGGAATTGATTATGATTTTATGTTTATTTTGAAAATGTACAGTTGATATTTCCATGTCCCTGATACCTATTTAACGAGGAATTGAAATTATTGTTTCACTGCCTTTCGCAACATTCACAGTTCGAGTATTTAATAACGTGATGAAACGAATGCACAGAGACTGTTTTTACGATAGATTTGATAGGACCGATGGTAATTACTTTCAAGAACCAGATGTTATGGACATATGGTTGACTATGATTACAGCATCTCTGTCCTTGTCAAGAATATTTCATCCGTGTAAGACCGTTGAGTCTACCTGTAATAATTGTCTATGAAGTGATCGCCATCGGTCTGCTTCTTCACTCGAAACGTTTGGCTCGCGGCCGCACGTAATTACAGTTATTAACATTAAAAACCATTGCACTGTAGATCTCATTAGTTTTAAGCACCGTACAAAATTTTGTAGCTGCGAGAACTAAGCAGTGGAGCCTAAGCGACTCTGCAAAATGGCGCAAAAAAAAAAGAAAGAAACTTATCCTTGTAAATTTAAAATAAATTTCTTATTTCTCGACTCGCAAAGTCAATATGACATTCACAATCGAATAGAATTCGCACTCGATGCGTCTATCTGTCCATTGAATGAATATAGCGAGTGAGCAATGATTCGCCCAATTCAACGAAAATTCACGATAAAAAAAAAAAGCATCCAAAATGAAAGGCCAAACCAAAAACTCGGTATTAAATATATTAAAGATATTATTACAGAAAGAGCCTCGACGAAATTATAAAAATTCTCTCCGCTCAATGTCAAATTGACAAGATCGTAAATAATTACACCGAGCACGCTCAAAATACCCAAACAAATAGCTCGAAAACTCCTCCATAGCCAAACGACTCTTGCTCAATGTCTCGTTCGAATGTTCTATTGCAGATCGAGCAGAAGCCAATCCATAAAAGTCTACAACAAGATAACCACGTGTCCCAGATAGGCAAGTCAATAGTTTCTCAGGCCAATCACACGGCTGCCCATGGCCATCATTATGGCTCCTCCTCATCCCCGTCGACGAGTCCTCAGCATCTCGGCGGCACCGAGCTGCAAAACGGACACGGGCGCAACGGTCACGGGCCGTCCAGTCACCTTGGTCACGCCGGCAACGAGATGCATTATCAGAAGAACGGCAAGTCGCCGGGGACCTCTCACCATCAACAGCAGCAGCACCAGCAGCACCAGCAGCACCAGCATCATCATCATCATCATCAGCAGCAACAGCAACAGCAGCAACAGCAGCAACAGCAGCTCGGCGGACAGAGCCAAGAGTGGCGTCAACAGGACGACGCGAGCGGGACTAACGAGGACAGTCTGTACGAGGGCTCCGGTCAACCGGTCGTCAACGACGGCAAGCACTCGCTCCTCCAGTACGCAATGCTGAACTTCCGCCAGAGTACCGACAAGTTAGTATAAACAGTGTTTTCTCCTTATTGATCGCGCGTGTCCGTCAGATTTTTATCTCCGTTCTTTGGATTTTACGCGTTGCGATTGCCGTGCCACAATGCTTTACGGTCCGGGCCATGGATTATATGAGGAATCATGGAACCGCGCTCGGCACTTTACTTTTTTTCACAGAGAGGAGATGTTTGTTGCACGACGTTTTGCACGACGTTTTGCACGACGTTTTGCACGTACGATTTTCAAGGACGAGTATTATCAACGCTATAAACAAATTTTGATCGTTAGACTTTGAAAATCATCATTGACGATCGTTAATCTCTTTTGTTACACACGCGCACACGCACACGCACACGCACAAACACACATACACACATACATACACACACACACACACACACACACACACATATATATATATATATATATATATATATATATATATCTGGATATTTCGAGTACATTATTATCGATTAAAATCAGAGAAGCTGTCGTATCAATAATATCCCCTTGTTTTTTTTTCTTCCTTCTTTTTCTTCATTTGCATTTATGACAGTTCGTTCATTAACAGAATACGATTATAAAAATTCGATAAAATATTTAATAATCATTAGATTATCTAGACGTAATTGATGTGTGTAATGAACGATAGTATATACACGGACACGCCTAGATTATTAGGAAGCAATGTGAGATGGAGTCAAAATGCTTTAAATTGCTTTAAATTCCTTTTCTTACGATACTCCTTTTAAGACTCACTGACGATGATGCTCGTCGTTTGGAAAACATTCATAATAATAAATAATAATAAAAATGCAAATGAAAATACATATTCTCAATATCAATCGTTGAATAGATATAGATGATAAATTTAATGACACAATAATTATCTAATTCTTGTATACGTTCGAAAGAAGATCGATAAAAAGCAATTAATAACGATGACGTTTTTATTTAAGTACAATAAAAATGGAACATAATTATTTTGTAAAATAATTTGTAGGCAACGAATTAAAGTAAAGAAGAAAAAAAAGCAAAACCAATGAAACACAAACAAAAAGAATGTAACTGTTTGTGTTTTACTATTGTAATAAGGGAAGGGGAAAACAAACAAAAGTTAATAAAATTCGTAATTGGATGAAGACAATGTTCAACTCCTCGTTTTACGAAATTAATAGTAATAGAAATGAGCGAGTATTGTACCTGCGGTGTCGACGATTTGTCATAATGTTGAATGATCTATCAGTTGCTTAATTTACGTAATAGCTACGCGGAAGTCTTATAAACGAAAGAGTTTCGTTATTATACCTACAGTTCTCTCTCTCTCTCTCTCTCTCTCTCTCTCTCTCTCTCTCGGTCTCCTTTTTGTCCAATATTAAGTATAAATTTGTTTTTCTTTCTACTTTTGATTATAACTAAATCGAAACCATTCCAATTCATTATTACGTCAAGTTATTTTACATAACTTTCAAAGCGATTAACATCACTGAACAATTTCGTAATTTTACTGTGAAAATATAGTTAAACGGACAATGATAATGATAATGATACACACAGTCGGCATCGCAAGGATTATCTAATAAAGACGCGCAAGGTGCATTTGTATAAAACGGCATTCACGATGAAGAGGAACATCGTTCTCTACTACATTTATCAGGCATATAAATATAATTATGTTCATTGTCTTACACGTTATGAAGTTGAGGAAAAGAAAGCTATTGCCTCGGCATCGTATATGACGAGTTCAATGACCGCGTCGCGCGTCCCTATTAATTATCATGATCTATCGTCTCCAAAAACTCGGTGTTTCAACGACTTTTCGTTTATCCACCACGTTAATCGAGGTTACTCGATCCTCGACGGAAGAACGGCCGAGTCGGGCCAAATTAACCTTAAACGACACGTTATGAGTAGTCGGAACCGTAGGATGAAAAAATCAGGATAAAAGTATCGGCGCCTACTTCGAACGAGGAAAATGCTTCTTACATTCGTCTACCAACGTGCAATTAATGTCACTGTGAACCGAAGTCTCTTGGGTAGGAAGTTGAGAAAGCATAACGCACGCACGAAAGATTATTAGCTCGAATCTCGAGAGCTCCTCTATCTTTCCACGTGTCTCCTCCTTTCTTTCCTGCGCCTGCATTGCCAGTTTTACATGCAAATTTAGCGGCTCGTTCTCTCGCTCACTTCCTCGTGCCCGCTGTTGTTTACTTTGCCATTGCTCTGTGCCGCTAATTTTCCCTGCTATTTGTCGGAAGTTACGTGCGGTTGCTCGTATGATTAAATAGTAGGCGCAGAAGTTCGTTGCATGTGATTCCACGCTTCTGTATATCAAGCCGCCGTAAGAATTCCGAGTTATCTAGAAAATGAAACTAATTAACAGTTAATAATAGAGTAGATAAGTTTAAGCTCCGGAGATGCGCATTAGCGGTAAAGATGGCCGGATAATTTATTTAAACAGCGTCTTGTAAATATTTTGTAATCGTTTCGCTGGAATAATTACTTTAGTAATTGTAATCGCGCCGAAGATAGTGCAAACACATACGCACACTATTGCTAAAGTATATTATGGGCAAGTACCGAGATTATCTTCGTCCTTTTAATTTAATGTAGTCGGTGGGTAATTTAATAAAAATCAAAGCCATGAGTAAACTGCGATTATAATCACTATATGGCTCGTGGCAAATATTCATTTACATTCTTATGATATACGAGAGAGTATTTATTATTGGAACACATAAAGTTGAGTTTCGAGTGTCGATATAATATATGCGAATTTATAAATTATGTTCGGATGCGAGGCAAAATGTTCACCTTCCTACGGTCTCATCATCACACGACAATGACGATTACGATCGCTAAGTTTTTTTTTTGTTTTTGTTTTCTTTTGTTTATTTTTCTATATAATACAGCTTGATTAATTAACTGCTTGAAATAAAATCCATTGCCCATAAGTAATTCGTTAAAAGCTATTGTTAAAAAATTTATTTTGACAGAGTCGCATCGAGCATTTATGATTAAAGCTAATTGCGTGGACTATAAAGTCCCTGTACCATTTGGAAAGAGAAACATAATCGCTACATTGGGGGAGAAAAAAAAAAGAAAAAAAAAACATCCCCTCGTTGCCATCAATTAAAAATCGCAATCGTTTGCAAGAGTTGAGACTGGCAAACACGAATCAAGCGAAACGCATTAAAGTTCGTAAAAAAAAACAACTAAAGGACAATTGCCATTTGTGCCCTTAGGTTTGAGATGCTGAAGACGGCCGACGGCTCGATAAGCGGATCTCTCAAGGTGATCGAATCGCTCAAGGGCAAGAAGAAGGGCAAAAAGAGCAAGAACCAGGACGGCGCCGAATGGACGTGGAAGGAGCAGGTCGACCTCGTGAAGTATTCGGCGGTGCCGATCGAGCAGAGCCTCCTGAGGCTCGACAACGAGCTCGGCTCCTTGGCCGCGGAGTGCTTCCTCTGCCTCATGCGCTACATGGGCGATCAGCCGCTGCCGCCCGATATGAGCGAAGTCAAATGCGTCTACACGATTCTAATGGTAAGCAGCGAGCCGATAATGACGAAATTACGACGACGTTACGCTTCGTCCGATGAAAATTATTCGCTAATTACTCGCTAATTACTCGCTGGCCGATGCTCATACACCGCGCCCGCATTCATTCTCGGGGATGAGCTTTTATTAAGTTGATAATGCTTGATCGGACGACGATGCTCGTAGTTCTTTCTCCGAGGATGCTTATAAAATATGTGAGTGGGGAAGCGTTAATTTTTATGTGAACGAGGATTATTGCTTTTATCGGTAAGTATTAATTAGCTTCAAGCCTTACGATGTTTTAATAATAGTAATAATTTGTCAAGTCGCGTCATCTATATTACGCTAAATAAATCCTTTATTCGACTCTTGGAATATTATGCTTACAGCGCTATATTTATAGATACACTTTCCATTGTACGAGTAACTGCAAGTTTAGCATAATATTTACGAACCAACTGCTCCTCTTTGCTCTACCTGTGACACACATAATAATTCAATATTTACAATCCCGCAAATCGCGGGCAAATGTACGTGTAAATGTTACCCTATCCTCCAATATAATCTATGACTTTCTTTTATAATTTTTTTACATTTAGTTTAGACCAGTTAGCATAATATTCCTCTAAACTCTCTCTCTCTCTCTCTCTCTCTCTCTCTCTCCGTCTATATATATATATATACGCGCGTACATTATAATGTAAAAATTCGTGATCAGCACCGAGACTTCGACATACTTCGACATCCGAACTCTAATCGGCTGGCGTCGACCAATAATTCCAATTTTGTCCCAGCACTGCCATAAATTCGAACTCCTGCGCGACGAAGTCTACTGCCAATTGATGAAGCAGACGACGAACAACAAGAGCCCGAACCCTGACAGTTGCCAGCGGGGCTGGCGGCTCTTCAGTATCGTCGCGGCTTACTTCACCTGCAGCGAGGGCCTCAAGCCCTACCTCAGCAAGTACCTCGAGACGGCGGCTTATGACAAGAGGCGGGCGTACCATGGCACCGCCACTGTCTGCCTGCAAAACCTTAGGAAAACGGTGAAGTACGGTGGCAGGAAGAACGTGCCGAGCGTCGAGGAGATAATGGCCATCAGCGCGGGGAGGAACGCCAAGAGGCAGATTTACAGGCTACCCGGTGGCACCGAGCGCGTCATCAACACTAAATGCACAACCGTCGTACAGGTGGGTTGTGCGACATCGGCCTCGCTTCTTCACCTAATTATTTCATTGGCCGCGATCGATCGACAAGCAACTTTTCTCCCTAAACCTAACTTTCAATCTATAATATGCAAAGCTCAAATTCACACTACAGTCTGTGTTTTGTTAGAACGTCGAGGGCGACCCTGAGTTTTGCTCGTGCTTGCATGTATCAATGTCAAGTACTAATAAAAGTATTGCCGTTGCAGGACGTGATCGAGGAGATGTGCAATATAATATCCGTTAGAAATCCCCACGAGATGGACGAATTCTCGTTGTACTGTATCGTAGACGGGGATGCATTCACCATGCCATTGGCAAGGGACGAATATGTGCTGGATGTAACAACGGAGCTTCACAAGAATCACCAACTGTTTTACTTAATCTTCTGCAGGTAAGCGGGCATTTAACGTACTTACGTGCCATATTAATACATTAATTCGAACCAATTACAATAATTCGATTTTAAGAAATTACATTGGAAATTCGTGTTCTTTTCAGGTCAGTTTGGTATTATCCATTGCGCTTGGATGCGCCACTATACGTCGAAGTAGTCTTCAATCAAATCGCACCCGATTACCTCGAAGGTCTATTGTTAGTTCTGCCGGAGGAGCACTTACCTCAGGAAGTCATTGTGAGTAATTCAAATTCCATCCCTTACAGCACGATAATTAATTTAGCGATATGTGCTCAATGTACGTTTTTCGTTTTCGTCCACCCGCCATGCAGTACGATATGGCGCAAATCGCTGCCTTACTTCATAGAGCGGCGGACTTGAAGAACGAGCGGGAAGAACCAACGACAAAACGGATTAAATACTTACTACCGAAGCCAGCGCTTAGCTTAAGGGAGCCGAGACCCCAGCAATGGGCCAACATGGTCCAGCAAGCCTGGTCTAACGTGCAGCACAATACGATCGCAAGCTGCAAAGCTCAAGTGCTTGGTAAGGACTCGACGGCAAATCTACGATACATTGGTCGAGTAATAGCGCGTGCGAAAATGGCCGAATCAAATATCTCGTAAACAAATTGCGCGCCAAATGATTCATAAATACAATGCCGTGCAACTTTTATCGATTTAGGCATTGTATCTAATGATACGAAATTCGTGCAAATTGTTGAGTCACGTTGCCAATGAATTTTGATTGCAGAGATACTTTCAAAGTGGCCGCTCTTTGGTTCGAGCTTCTTCGCAGTGAAGAAAGTCCCGGAGGGAAAAGAAAAAGGCGGCGATCACATCTTGGCTCTCAATCGACACGGCGTACACTTCATCGATCTTATAACGCACGTACGTACTCTCAACTTGCCCTTAATTTACAAATTTAATATAATGAGCGACGCTCCTCCACCCCACCCCCCCCCCCCCCCCCCCCCCCCCCCCCCCCCCCCCACCCCCCCACTCCACCTCCCACCCCACCTCCCCGCCCACCCATCCACCACTAACATGCACGCATGATCGTGTAAAGAGCAAGGGAATGATAATTGGAATAAAATGCCGTTGCAGGAAACGCTGTATCACTATCCGTACTCGGAGGTGATATCGACGCGCAAAGTTAAGTCGGAGGAGGGCACTTTGTACCTCGACATGAAGTGCGGCAACCTAATGCAGCAGCGCATCACGAGGCTGCAGACGGAGCAGGCACACGAGATATCGCGTCTCATTCGCCAGTACATCACGATGGAGCAGAGGTCGAGTAGCAACCAGGGAGTGGCTTCTCCGATGGGTTTTGGGCTGAGATAAAGTTGGGAATGAAGGGCCGCCGATGATGAAAGCGAGGTGAAAAAATTGAACGCGTAGTCAGTCGAGGCAAGGGCGAGGCCGCGTGCTTTATGAAATTGTCAAACGTAACGCTCAAGCATATCAATCTAATTTTATCCGTTATCACACAATGTACATACGCGTAGTAATAATTAGATAACGAAGAGCCAATCTTAATTTTTTTTTATACCTGTAATTAGCTGAAGGCTAAGCACATGGGGCTACTCGAGATGTTGCGCGTTTCGTGAGTGGACGACGAGGTTCGAGGTTGAACGGCTTGGGGTGCGGAAGCCAGTCGTTCGCCGATTATTCATAAGACTTTGTATTCTACTGTCGCGAATGTCTTCCAATAATCACAAGATACTGAGAAAGAAAGAGAGAGAGAGAGAGAGAGAGAGAGAGAGAGA